TATATATGTGTTTTCCATGCATAAATACTGGGTACAATTGAACCCACATTTAATAGGTTGCATCTGCCTATGGACTATGGTAGCCAGATATATGCCATTCTTCCAAAAACATTTGAAGAATCTAACCATCCATCAAACAGATCAATAGCTAAAGAAAAAGAAACTACTCATAAGGATTGCTTCTCCTTTTTCTTTTTGTTTCATTTTTTAATTTATTTTTTGGGGGAGGAGGCGCATAGTAGCATGAGCTAAAACATTTGGGAGTTGAATTCATCCTAAGGATTTTTACTTGTAAGACTTCTTGATACCAACGTAAAACTCAACATCGCCTTGGCCACACTTTATATGACATGCGTCAATTTTCACAGGTGAGTTGAATATGTAATAATATTTGTGTCCTGTGGATATTTATTTAAACTTGTCATATCTTATGTAAATTGTATACAGATATCATCTAAAAATTCAAAGTTTCAAACTAATATAAGTTTCTCCGAAAGCAGTGACTTTACCAGAACAGAAAATAGACCATATTTTTTAGACGTACCAAAATACAAAAGTACATCAAGGAAAATGGTACTCCCTGTGTCTCAGTTTATGTGACATTTCTACATTTAAAAATAATTTAACTTCAAATGTCTCATTTTTCTTGATTTATAGCCACACAAATTTTTATAGTAATTGGTCCCTCTGTTCCAATTTATGTGAACCTGTTTGACTGGGCACGAAATTTAAAAAAAAATAAAAAAATTTAGAATTTGTGATACTAAACAATTCAAAAAGTGGTCCAGAATATTTGTGTGTTATAAAAGCGAATTGTAAGTTTAAGCAAAATTATTTTCAAATTTTGAAAGGATTATTCTTTTTGAAACAGACCAAAAAAGGAAATACGGAGTTAGGTAAATTTCAAGCCTTTCTTTATTTCTTAAACTTTATGTATAAATACACAATCAAAACACAGAAGAGCGAAAAAAAAAAACGTGAAAGTAAAAGGTACCAGGAGATATGTGAGGTCTACGGTTGGTGCCGGTGGTGGTGACACGGAGCATAAACCGAGCAAACGGAGGAGGAAGCTGCTCTTTTGAAAGCCGAGATGGTTCTGGAAACAACCGAATATACAAATACCGGTTCTTTTCAATTGATAAGTGCCTTAATCAACAACTTAAACATCAGAAGAAAAAAAAAATTGAAAGAGGAAAAATAGAGAGTAAAGTTTTACAATTACCAGTTCCAAATACCAATTTTAAAAGGGTCAGATCGCTTGTAAGTGGATGCTCCGAAGTTATCGATCCTCCATTGAGCTAACCTTGATATCGTCTCTACCTTTGTGTCCGTCATTCTTCTTCTACTACTGCTACTGTGTGTGGGTGGGT